TCTTTTGAGACAGGATTTTTCTCTGTCACCTACCTAGGCTGGAGTGCAATGACACAATTTTGGCTCACCGAGGCCTCAACCTCCTGGTTTTAAGCCATCTTCCTCCCTCAGCTTCCTGAACAGCTCAGACTACAGATGGCTAAATTTGGTATTTTTTATCCAGGCTGGTCTCAAATTCCTGGCCTCAAGTGATCCTCTCACCTCGCTCTCCCAAAATTCTGGGATTACAGGTATGAGCCACTGTGCCAGGCCTGTCAAAATCCTCTTTTCCCAGATGATCGTCCATGTCAGAAGTCTGTCATTCCACGTCCCCCGAGGGCCCTGTCTAGCTTCCAGACACCTCTGCACTACTGCAGTCTGGTTTCCTCCAGGCGGCTGCTGCGCTTTCATCTGGCGACTCCCCTTTGCCACTCTTTTCTGCTGCTGTGACTTTCTGGAGCTGGTGTCCTCCTTCTTGGTTTACTTTCTCATTTTGGTGGAGCGTTGTATCAGCAATTTCTGGACTCCAGAGGCCCTGCTTTTAACCCTGTACTGATTTTCCTTGAGCTGCCCAAGTTAAAATAAAAATTGTTCATTTTTCTTGTTAACACTAATCTCTTAATTTCGCTTTTGATCTACCTTTAATTCCCTTACCTTTGTTATTTCCTTTCTTCCAAGCATTCTCAGCTCTTCCATTTTTTTTTTTTTTTTTTTTCCATAAGATATGATCATGTAATTTTGGTTGAAAATGCCAAAGCAATTTCACGGAGAAAGGATTTTCAAAAGCCAGTGCAGCAACAACTGGTTATCTATAAAGAGATAGCAGCAAACTGAACAGGTCACCAACATGGTAATGATAACTCCCTGGTTAGGACCTTTAGGGATGAACCAGGGCACCAAGAAGCCGACGAAGCCCCAGAACACGCTCATCACAATGAGAGGCACCGTGAGGCCGTGATACGCCATGGTCGCCGCCTCACCCGGTCTCACCCGGAAGCGTCCAGTTCTTCCTTTTCATTGAATCATTCTTAAGCTCAAACGGGCTCACATTTCTCCTAAATTAAACAACAACT